AAGATGAATCATGTTCATAATCCTATCAATTATAATCACACAACTTCTAAACTTGACTTTCTTTGTCCTCTCCTATTTATCGTCGTAGTGGTAGTAGAATTTTCCAGTTGCCTGGGTGAACAGGTGTTGTCTCATGCCTATTGCACGTGTTTTCAGTTGATTCAATGATGAATAAAGCTTCCGTTATAATCTCTCCTCCACCTGACATTAGATTTTAAACTGTCATCTTATCCCATCCCGTCCTATTGTATGGTTGATATAATCGCATGTAGTCATCCAGTAAATAATAATAATACTGTTTCACACTGTGTGCGTGATATATCTAATAAAAAACTAATATAGAATACATACTACCACAGTGCCCAAGTTTTACACATACAATCATCAATGTAACTACAAACTTTGAAACCCCATTTTACAATTCTTACCCTCCTCCCTCTCCTTGCAGTAGAATTTTCCAGATGTCTGGGTTGACAGTGTTGAATCATTCCTACCATACGTCGTCTTCTCACTTAATTTGATAAATAAAGTTTCAGTTATATCAGTATCCCCCTTTCTAGGCTGTTTGTTATCATATTAGATTTTAAGATTGTCATTTTATCCCATTCTATTGAATGGTGATGTGTAAGTGTATGTGCATTGTCATAGCTTCTGAGTTATTTATTTTCAAGGTTTCTTATTTTATTAGAGTCTACTATTCTAGATTTTGCCAGGTTTTATTGTGTTTGGCTTATCAAATTGCCTTCATCTTACCACTTTGACTTATGCGTATTCCACTACACAATCCATTGCAGACAGAAGTGTTAGATAAACTAAACTGTTTTGTTCAAGTATTGGTTTGCAGGGATTTGATGGGTTGGTTATAGGATCTCATCGTGAGTTGGCATCGGTTAGAGAACTATTGGAAAACCTGCAAAGAGTAACTGGACAGCTGGCTGTTTCTTCCTAGTTCGTCAATCTTCATCAGTACGCACCCACTGCTACGGTTCAAACACAGGGCCTTCTGACTACAAATGATGAGCTTGGAGACCATTAATCCGCTGGGAGCTGATCCAATAGCTAGCACATGGATTTCAACTTCTGCCAATCCGCGATATAGAGCGATTGGTACTAGCCAGTATCATCACTGGGGAGTATTTGTCCTCACACTCGACCAGCTGTACGCTACTGGTTAGGACTTCCTACTAGAACTCCAGGTAACTCCATACCTGAATAGGGCCAGTTGCTATTGAGCGTGTTTGTTTGCGAGGATTTGATTGGTTTCAGGATTTCATCATGAACTCTGTGTGAGGACATATACTCGCCAGTGATGACAGTCGCTAGTGGTTGCGAATTGGCAGAAGGTGGAATTCATGGGTTGGCTGTTGGATCGCGTCCCAGCGGTTTTATGGTCTACGAGCTGGCCTTGTAACCAGAAGGTTTTAGGTTTGAAGCCTGGTCGTTTGTGGACTGCTGGAGACTCTCAAACCGCTGGGACAAAACAGCTTTCCACTAATCCCAGTTTTTCCAATGGTTCTCTAACCGATGTCACCTCATGATAAAATCCTGTAAACTGTTTTGTTTAATGGACTTCACAGGATCCTTTAACAATAGTTATAATTTATTTCTAAGTAAGTTTGTACATTTGAATGCCACTCTTTTTCTCCTGAATTCTTAAAGATCTTATGTCATTTTTCAATGGTCCCCTTCTTTGCATAGCATCAGCAAGACTGATGTTTTAATTTCCTTATTTTTGATATCTTAACCTCCCTGTGTATGTTTGTAATGCATGTTATCCTTGTTTTAATAGTTACGGTTTTATTCAGGGTAATTATTGATTATTACTGATGCTTCTTTAACATGTGTCTTGCTTTTTACCTTTGATTTTCTTCATAATACTTAAACATTTCGCTAATCCGCATAGTCGCTGACATTTTGAACGGAATGATGATCCGATATCTAAGTAACGGTTTGAAGACACTAGTGTTTAATTTTCAATCTTATTTACTTTTATTGATGCAATACAACATTGGAAGATCGTGTTTGTTGTGGCTTTTCAACTCATATAAGTAAATTGAATACCACCTGTCCCGGGCATGTGCAGAACTCAACTACCCGTACAACAAATAAGAAAAATGGATGGGAACTATAAAATTCAAGTTTCGATTTTGTTTGCAGTTACACTTGGTTGTATGATTATGAACATCAAATTTTGTTAGGTTGAGGTGGCGGGGGCATTCCTAAGGATTTTAAGAACTAATGGCTTGATACTGTCGGTTCAAAACTGTTCTCAGTTGCACAAATGCATTCGCTCTCTGTCAGATCTCAGATACATTAGGACTTTCGCTTGTAAGACTTAGATATAATGGGGAAGATTTGTAGCTCAGTTGGAGGATTTTGATGCAGTTGTGTTCTCTGAGCTAGCTGGATGGTTTATTCGCGAAGCTTTCATTGCCACCCCCCCCCCAACTAGGCAATATCTTCAGTGCATACTTCAATTTAGATTGAAGTGAGTTTTTGGATTTCTCCACGAGTTTATTGGTCGTCTTTCCTGGTGAGTGACCTCGAGCATTGTGATTGGTTGTTTTTGTGTGTTTTCACACCCTCTAGGCTACTTGTATTGGTACTGATTGATTCGTTGACCTGAATTTTGATGCTTTTGTATGATGATTGGTAAATTTTGTCTATCTCGATGTGTCGATTGATTGACGGTTCACTGGAATACAAGTCAGCCTTCTAAAAATTCTCTAGCATTTTTGGTGTTTTCTCTATTCAATATTTGAACGTTAGTTGTTCCAGTAGAATTGATGTCCGTGGTTGCCTGTATGCAGCGATGTGAGTGAGGGAGTGGATGTCATGTCTTTTGACGGCTAGTTTAGGATCATGGATACGAAAGACAAAGAGGAGGGGCTTCCACTTTGGCCAATGTAGTGTTTTTTGCAGTCTTTGCAATTCATTTTATAGAGGATGTTGGTTTTATCTTCTTTCGATGTTGCGTCTTTTAGCTGACATAGAGTTGAGTGCGGTGATTTTGTTGGTTTGTGTGCGACATCAATTCTTAAAGGTTCATGTGCACATATGCATTCGCTCTCTGTAAAAGCTCAGATTAACATTAAGTCTTCCTGTTTTTCTCCTTATTATTCTTTCTCCCATACATTTCTTCTCAACAGAGCTCTTTTGAATGGCTTCCTTCCTCTCCTTTTTCTCTCTTCTTATGTGCTGCACGGAGTGTGGTTAGTCGAACTGGTACACTTTTCTGCAAAGTTCAGTGTTGTAACTCTCAATTGATTAGTCAGTCAGTCAGTTCACTGCAAATAGGTGATGAACAAGAAGGCTTCGTGTGCTTTCGGAAGCGTGTGGACGGTTGTTACTTGCCGGCTGCCCACACCGTGGAAGTTGATTGATTCTTCGGGTACCTGAAAAAGAAAGAGGGTTAGTGTTGCGTGACCGCAGAGCCCAGGAGACAGCTGCTTGAGGCCGGTCACACACACACTTCCGAATTAGTAAATTTACCGCTGGTTACGGACCACCCTAGGGTAAGTCGGGATGTACAATTTTTGGGGTTGACCTTTTCTAACCCCTTCCCTCCAGAGTGGAGAGACAGCGCAGCTGCATGTTGGTCATCTGAGGTAAACACCTTACTGCTGTTACATCCCTGTTCCACAACAATACAACTTCGCCCACAGACCCAGAATAGTGTAAGAAAATTCTTACACTAAACCGGTAACTGCTTTTAGTCTAATCGCTATCCTAACAATCTTCCTGGCATGGTAGAACCTGTAGGAACATTGGTTCCAGCCAGTGTAGCTTGTTGGTTCATCGCGTTGTGCAAGCCTGGTGACCACCACGTCAAGGTAGCAGCTATCGGTATCAGTTATGGATGTGAGACCTGGCCATTGAGAGTGGAAGACATGAAAAGATTAGCTGTCTTCGATCATAGGTGCCTGCGTTCTGTCTCCCGTGTGAAGTGGTATAATAAGGTGAGCCATATTGAGGTTAGGCGCTGAGTGCTAGGTAAAGAGCGGAAATCAATCGACGAGGCTGTGAAATTACATCGACTGAGATGGTTAGGACATGTGTTAAGTATGCCTAGTCATCTCCTTCCTTGACAGTGGGCAATGTTAGCTGATATAGGGTCAGGCTGGAAAGGAGTTAGTGGCGGTCAAACCAAAACATGCCTTCATCAGTCAATGAAATCTACAACAGTTAGTCTAGGCCACGTAGGAAGGTGTAGACTTCCTGGTTGGGGTCCTCGGGACGGTATGAAAAACCAATGGCTGGAAACAATTGGTGATATGGCTCAAAATCGTTCTCAATGGCTCAGATGCATCCACTCCTTGCGACTTATAATATCTAATGAAACTGTATGGTTCTTCGATATTACTATTGCTTTGTCTCATATCTCTGGTTACCGTCTCTTTTTTGCATTCTCTTCTACTTTCTTCTCTTGCTTTGTGTGCTACCTGGAGTGGAGTGGGCTTGACTTAAACTGTTGCACACCGGTGCAAAGTTCTATGCCGAAAACAGACAGACAGACAGGTGATGCACAAATATGGTTAACAGAAAATTGATGTGACTATGCTATGCCGCCAAGTCTAATGATCGCTAAATCAACACTTTTTGTAGTAGTGTGACGGTAGAAGACAAGAGACTCGGTATAGGAAATGTTTATTTGAAGATTTGGTATCTATATATATAGCAAAATTATGTACACCCCTTGTCTCCAGCGTACCATTTGCACAGATCTTCCGTGTTGTGCTACTTATGACCTTCATGTTGTGTTCCTTTCACTCACGTCTCCCATGCATCTCCACAGCGCTGTATCATTTGCTTTCTCTCACATCAAATCTCTCTGTCTCCCTGCAATGTGGTGTTTTTATGTATTTATATATATACTACTGATAAGTCTTATCAGTAGCACATGCCACAGTAGGACGGCCATATTGGTTTACTTCTATCTATCATACTAGTAATTTGTATTGCTTATTACCATATTTACTTCCTTTATTTTTTTTTCAAAGGTAAAATAATGGAGCATCCGGGTATGTCTCCAAGTCGATCAATCGACTCACAGCTGATCAATTTAACAAATGAGTTTCATAATACACAATTGACGGATAGGTAAGCTTGCTTCAGTGCCCTCCCATCCCACCTTTTTCGTAAATATTTCTTTTGTGTATACTGTAGAGTAGAATGAGTATTTGTTCAATAATAACTGGGTAGTGAGGAAACTAGACATTAGGTGGAAATCGGGTGAACTGTGATCAAGATTTGACAGAATAGTTCCAAAGTAATTGGGCGACGAATGAGAAGTAGACATTTGTAAAAAATATCTCAGCGAAACAGAAATGAGTAATTCCAACGAATCGCAATAACCTCTGCTGTTTGGAGCATGCGATGCTTCGATGATGATTTTGTCAATTTATTAGTCAATCGGTAGATAATAGAGAAGGATTCTTCCACGCTGGCTTTGTGACCGGTTTGCACCAGATGGTCCAATATCGAACTGTTAATAGTTTTAACTACACCTTTACTCAGCCATAGTGGGATATGTTCTCGAGCACAAAAATTCAAGTTCCTAGAGCAACGGTCAATATAACTCGCTACACCAGAAGCGCAGTTGAATCGGTAGGTACAATTAAAAGAAGTGGCTAGTCTAGGTACTTCTTCTTTTACTCGAGGAATCACCATCGGTTGTCTAGAAAATAGGACTTGTAGCTTCCCAGCATTAAACGTTTTTTGAACTGATTTTCTTAACTTTTTCCTAATTGTTTCGCTGGGTATATCGCCCATGAATTGCAGTCGTACATAAAGTGGCTTCTTGTTTACAGATAATGAGTGGTCTTTTTCCGCTTCCTTTGTCAAGTGTTTCTTGATAAATTTTTCGGGATAGCCATTTTCGATCAAAGTATCATATACAATGCTTAATTCCTCTTCAATTACTTCTTCTGAGCATATAGCTCTAACACTGTGGCTGAGGGTCTTCACTAAATTTCTTTTGTACTGGAGAGAAACGAAGCTGTTAAAATGTGTATATTGTCCTGTCCAAGTACTTTTCCTTTGCAAATTTCTTTTTATGGTGCCATCTGGTTTTCTTGTAAATAGGACATCCAGGAAGGCAATTCTGTTTTGGGATTTCTCTTCGCACGTGAATTTCATATCCGAATGTACTTCATTGAATTCAGTAATTATTGTAATCCTATCCGAATCATTATCGCAAAGAATGAAGGTATCATCCATATATCGGCAATAAAATGTGAGCTTACTGATAAGGTTGTTCAAAGGTCCATTTTCTAGCTTACTTAGAAAGAAAGAAATGCCATTAGATACTACTTAATCAGTAATAAGTTTATTTTATAACTCTGTTTCACTACTACATAGTAATAATAGTAGTATTGTGGTGGTGTGATACAGACAATGTGTTCCAACGGAATATTATTCTCACATATTCCCACAGTTCAATACTGCGTTAGAAACATAATACAATATGTATATTTGAACATTTTATTTCATGTCGTTTCATTTAAGTCAAAATCACACTTTCTGGGATTGGTTAAGGAATATAATCTGTATATGTATACATAAATATGAAAATATACCTTGGCTTCCGTGTCTTGCCTTCTGATGTTACAGTATCACTCCATATTATTATTATTGTTCCCTTGGGTTCCTAGTGGAACATAGGGCTTCAACTACACGTCTCCACTTGCTTCTGTCTTATGCTGTACTTTTCACTTGCATCCATGTTTGTCCATACTGCTTCAACTCTTCTTCACACGATCTCCTCCATGTCACCCTTGCACCGACGAACCACTCGCCGCTTCACTGTCGGGTTCCACTCGAGCGATGGCCTGATGCGTGATGTCACCGAGCGGCCTCCTCAGCGAGTGTCCAATCCATCTCCACTTTCTCCTGCATATTTGTTTGGTGATTGGTTCTTGTTTTGTTTGTTCCCATAGTTTCTTGTTGGTGATTCTTTCCGGCCATCTGATCTTCAGTATAGAGCAAAGACAGTTGTTGATAAAGGTCTGCAACAGGCTGTTGGAAATATTCTTTGTGACCCGCCAAGTTTCTGATCCGTATAGAAAAACTGACTTGACGTTTGTATTGAAAATTCGAATTTCGTTGTTGATGCTGAGTGACAGCGGAAGATTTCCAGATTGGTTTCAGGTCGACGAATGTGTTTCTCGCCTTCCCGATTCTCGATTTGACATCCTCGTCCGTCCGTTTCTCCTGTATTTGAGACAATGCTCCCTAGATAAGTAAATGAAGTAACCTCTTTCAAATCCCTCCCGTTGATGGTGATTGGCGCTGGATGTTGCAGTGTTTTTATTTTGAATAATAATTAAGCCACTACTTTATACAGTTGATACATTCACCCAGTTTGCGATCACTCAATATCTGTTATTTTTCGTTATTCTAAGTTTCAGTTGAAATATTACTTCATCTGATTTGCATTGTTGTATTGTGTATGATTATTTCTCATCTTGCACGTCAGTTAGTGCACTTGTAGAATACTCGCCAACCACACACTTGGTTCCGAGGTTTGATCTTCCAGCCATCGGACGCATTACTCTTCTATTAATCACTGAAAGTAAGTCCGTAACGAAAGTGACATGAGGCTAGCAGCTTCAACTCCTAAAAACCGGCACCACTTCAGAACTCAAGCTCTGTGTTAGAAGTTGAGCATACGGTTCCAAGCTTGAGCTTTATAGCTTTAGTAGTGGTGGCGCTTCTTTTACCTCAGTTACCGGTCTGCTAACCAGCTAACCGAGGTTTAGGGGTACGTCGGTGGTGGCCTCGGATCGGACCGCTTGTTTGATTGGCGAGTGTTTAACAACCCATTGACCTTCCTAATTACTGTATGTATCCTTTGCTTTTGTGTTTCTTGTTCTTTTCAAAGACGACATCCTATATCCGTCAGTGAGACAACAAGTGAAGACAATCTGTCAGTAGTAGCCTATGCGTCAGGATCATCGAAACTAAAACATGAGGTATCATCGCTTCATTCAAGCCCTGGTGCTGTCATCGGTGGTGATGACTACTCACAGTCTCAAAGTTCAGCTGATGAATATGCTGGTGGTGGTACTAGTACGACTTCTGGTGCTGGCACTAGCACTGGCGCCAGTGCTGAAGTTAGCGGTTGGCGTAATTTCGGACGTCTACGTAAAGCGCTAACACCGAAGAAAGTTGTACCAGATGGTCGATTGGTTGTTGATCGACTGAGAAAAACCCGTCATTTGAATAATGTTTTAATTGTTCGAAATGATTTAAGTCCTGGCCAGGTATTTGATCGAATTACTGCAGCTTTAAAACAACACTTGATACGTTTTACACTAAAGGGGTAAGCTGCCTTATCTTGTTTTTTTTTTCAATTTTTTTATTTTGTGCTTTATTAACACTGACTTGGTGCATTATGATTACTAAGGGGGAGGATACTCCATAGATATAAGAATAAAACTTGTACCCCGTGGTAGAGTGTTATTCCATAATTGGTAAATTTTGTTTTGATAAAGTCTCACAGTGTTAGTAGATTTTAGGAATACTCCTACTTATGAATTACCAAAAACACTTAGCTCTAATATTATGCCCCATTAGAAATTGCTCAAACTCTAGACTGGCTAATTCATTTGAGATGAAAAATAAACTAAATAACATTCAACTAGAGAATGATGAAAGAATGATTAGTTTTGATATAACCAGTCTTTATACTAACATACCAATCAATATGGCCTTAGAAACAGTTGAAAAAGAATTAACTGCAGACCCTGAACTCACTTATAAGACGAGACTGCCCATTGATGAAATTATTTATGCTGCCTTACATCTACTATGTTTAAATTTCAAGGCAAAATATATAGACAAACTGAAGGTGTAGCAATGGGGATCACCAATATCCCCTATCGTAGCAGATATATTTATGGACAGCTGGGAAAATAGTGCTCTTAATACATTTAATCCTACTCCAAAAATATGATGGAGATATGTGGATGACATTTTCACACACAGTGTTAAAAACACAACATATCTCTAGCTTCTTGACACACATAAACTCACTAGTGGAGGGAATAAAATTCACATTTGAATCGGAAAATGAACAAGGAGAATTAGCTACGTTAGATTGTAAAATAAAACGAATAGAAGAAGGTAAACTACACACTAGTGTTTATAGAAAACCAACGCATTCTAATAGATATTTAGACTTTAATTCATCTCATCCTTTAACTGTTAAGGCAGGCTTAGTTAAGTGTTTAACAAACCGAGCAATTGCACTAAGTAGCACAAGAAAAGACCTAATTAATGAAATAAAACAGACAGAAGAGGCGTTGGTGTTAAATAACTATCCTTTAAAATTCATTAGGAAGATTGAAAAAGGCCAAAAGAAAAATAAAAAGAATTGTGAAACTATTAATAATAACATGAATAAGAGAGAATATAAGTCATCTACAGTTATACCATATAAAGAGGGGACATCTGAGACCCTATGTAGGATTCTAAATAAAGCAGGAATTAGGGTGGCATTTAAACCTACAAACTCACTCAGATAGGACAAGCTCTGTAGGTTAAAGGACCCTGTATGTTGACCCAATTAGACAAAATAATATAATTTACAAAATACCCTGCAATGACTGTGAGGTCAACTACATAGGTCAAACTAGTAGGTCAGGGGTAGTCAGATTGTCAGAACATAAGAATTTAGCTAAGGTAAGAATGGTTGACCCCGAGAAGATGAGTAATTTAGAAAAAAGCTCAGCAATTGCAATGCATGCATTAGCACACGACCACACAATAGGGTGGGTGGGAGAGGGTTGCAATTCTAAAAAGTAATCTAGGTAGGTGGAGATAGAGACTGGTGGATTACGGAATCCTTCTTCATCGAATCTACACCCAACACATGCAATAGGAATGATTCATCACTCATACCTGAAATATGGAAAATATTACTACCAATCAAATCAAGTGAAAAAACAACGGAATTACATAAATGAATTTAGGAAGACGTGTGATTACCTTGATATGATTATGAGCAGTAATATATTGTGCTCGAAACTTGGTCATCAGTAAACTTTACTGTACAACACTGTGAGACTTTATCAAAACAAAATATACCCACAATCGGATACTCCATAGTCTTTTTGTGATGGTTGGAGTACTACCTGAATGTGTCCAGATCAAAACAGGTGGTTGTCTTAAGAGGCCACATCTTGAGCTTTTTGCATGAAGCCTGATCACAAGGCAGTTGAGCAGCATCGGAGGAGCTACGTCCCTATGGTTGCTGGTGACCGAAATAGGTTCACCGCAGGTCATGTGGTCTGTTCGAATTCTTGAGCCCTCATTAACACTGCCATAGGTTTGAAATCGGGATTTCCAGCTCCCCTGACTGACTGACTGACCGAGTGGTTTCAACGTAGAACAACTTTGCACAGATGTGCGCCAGTTCGAGTTGCCACCCCCCCTCTATTTTGCACACAAGGCAAGAGAAAAGAGTAAAGAGAGATTCAAAAGAGAGACATTAAGCAGAAGTGTGAGTGAGGAAAAAAGAATAGTAATATGTAAGAACAATAGAGTTTTATTGGATATGACCGGTAATCTCAAAGAGTGACTGCATCTCCACTAGCCATGGAGAACGATCCCATCAAGCCATTTCACCAATTGTCTCCAGCCTTGATCGGTTATTACCATCCTGAGGAACCCAGCCAGTCAGGCAGTCTACACCTCCCTATGTGACTGACTGGCTTTAACTAACTGTTTTGGATTTCATTGACTATTGAATCCGTGTTTTGGTTTGACCACCACTAAATCTCCCTTTTCCAACGTGATCCATCCTATGTGAGTAAGCTAACATTGCCCGTTGAGGAAGGCGATGGCTAGGCTAGACATGCGTAACACATGTCCTAACTATCTCAATCGGTGCAACTTCCTAGCCTCGTCGATTGATTTCTCCTCTCTAGCTCCCCTAGGTAGACCTGCATGACCACCAATCCGGTTGTAAGCTCCGGAAGTTCAAGTGAAGGGAGTGGATAGAAATCACCTGACAGAGGTTATAAAAGTGTGGTTACATGTTGGAGCATTTTGAGACGAAAACAGAAGTCTATCCACCCTTGACCGTACCAAGTCGTTTATGGAAGCCAACACATTATTATTTGTAAACTTTTTTGTAAACATTTCTGGCCAATTAGTTAAGTTGATGCATATCAATCTTATTTGTTACACGTCATGTCTACACATCGAATGTGAGTTAATACAATGTAGGACATAGATATAAAGATCAATTCATTTAAAGGTTAAATTATCGACGGAGTTAAATGTAATGCATAAAATTAAAGAAAAATATTTTGGAGTCAACTTTTTAACCTTTATCTACCGTATACTTCTCATTAGATAGTGTTGGGTGTGTTTAACTTGCATAGTCAGTAGGACCATCAGATTCTACTTGTTATTGTAATCATTTCAGCATTCGTTACGTGTAACTCCTATGTAGATACAACGATAAATGAGTCTTCCTCAATCAGTTCTCTTCATCCGTTATTTAGACCTCTAGCGACTTCAATTTTTACCTTTTTTTATATAAATATATATATCAAGCGCATGTAGTCGGAATGAGAATGCATTTGCATCATTAAGAAGTGATTTTGACTCATATCACCAACAGCCCCTAGGTGTGTTGGTACTAAGGGCTGCAGCTGGTCTGTCTGTCTGTTTTCGACATAGAACTTTGCAAATATGTGCGGCAGTTCAAGTCGCCACGCTCCATGTAGCACACAAAGCAAGAGAAGAAAGTAGAAGAAATGCATAATAGAGACAGTAAACATAGTAATAACGAAGAACGATATAGTTTCATTGTAAATCATTAGTCACAAGGAGTGGATGCATCTTCACTAGCCATTGAGAACGATGAGTTTGAGCCATATCACCAATTGTTTCCAACCATTGGTTTTTACCGTCCCGAGGACCCCAACCAGTCAGGAAGTCTACACCTTCCTACGTCGCTTAGAATAGCTGTTGTGGATTTCATTGACTGGTGCCATGTTTTGGTTTGACCGCCGCTATCTCTTTTCCAGCCTGGCCCTATATCAGCTAACATTGCCCATTGTCGAGGAAGGCGATGACTAGGCATACGTAACACATGTCCTAACCATCTCAGTCGATGTAACTTCACAGCCTCGTCGATTGATTTCCCCTCCTTACCTAACACTCGACTGAATTCTCACCTCGATATTGCTCACCTTATTATACCACCTAACACGGGAGGGATATAGAACGCAGGCACCTATGGTCGAAGACAGCTAATCTTTTCATGTCTTCCACTCTCAATGGCCAGGTGTCGCTCACATCCATATAGGAGGACGGAGCAGACAGCTGAGCAGTACACACGCCATTCGGTTGATAGTTGGATATCACCTCTACGCCAGAGACGGCGTAAACTGGCATATGCGAAACTAGCCCTCTGTATTCGTGCTGAGATTTCGTCAGAGATCAACCCGTTGGCTGATGGTACTTCCCATGTAAGTGAAGCGGTCAACGTGCTCTACCACTTCAGCTGGGCTGTGTATACCTCCTTATTTATCTCATAGCGACCATCGAAGTCTTAATCGAATGATTGATTCCATGTTTTGGTTTGACTACATGTAGCTCTAATCACATATCGTTAGCTAACATTTTGTTCAGTAAGGAAGACCATATCTTAGCATGTATACCACTTGTTGTATCCGTATCTTAGTCGACACAGTTTCATAACTTCATCGATTGACGTAAACATCTGTGGGTAAAGACAATTAACCTCTTCCAGTCTTCAACTTCCAACAATTATGTCTCACAGCCCCCCCCCACGATGTGTGCTGCGTTGTTCTAACTTCTTTTAACTGACAGTCAGATATCACGTCCACACAATCACACACACACGTTAGTGTAGAAAATTCGAATCTTGTTCATTGTGTTACTGAGTGCAGTGCAGTGCAGCAAATTATTTCCTCACACTGATTTCAGGGTAGCGAAGGTTTGTCTTGCCCTTTCTCAACCAACCCTGACTAAATTTGATATCCTTATATATATGTGTGTGTAGCCGCCTCTGGGTGGAAATTGCTGTTGGCCAGTTAGTCAGGTAAGAGGAAGGAAGTGACTTCTTCCGAATTACTCCCGTTTTGCGATGTGAATCTTTTAAATCACGAAAAATACCCATTTATTCATAAGTAAAAACACAGTTTTTTTGGTTTGTTCAGCGAAGAAATTTCTTTTCAACGACTTCATTTTCAAGCCAACTGTACAGTCATATTTATATTACAGAAAAAAGGTTATTAAGTGGCACTAAATAATTGCTCAGTCAATATACATATATACAAGTGATAAGAATAACGATAATTAAAATTTTATAAGGGGTAGAGTTGAAGTGGATGAATTACAAAATTATTAAAGATTGTTTTATAAGTGAATTGATATCAAAAATATTTATAAAAAATGTCAAGCGTTGTCTAAAGAATTTTAAAAATTAGGAGTACAATTACGATAAGAATAAAGATATGAAGTGAAGTGGAGAGTAGAAAGAACATTACTATGACCAAGGTAAAGAATGGGGTTTGACAAAACGTTTTTGAACACATAATTCAGGTTTCTGTTCATGTATAGCTAAAGCTTCGGCTATGCATGCATAAGTGAAGAAAACGTAAACTTTTGGATCGATTCGATTTTGCCATGTAGATAACGTTGAAGGATGAATCACGTGGGGCTGAATGACCTGACTCTAACAGGTGATCACAAATAGACGACTTCGCAATTCTATGTTCGCCTTTCATTAACCAGACTGGATAGTGTTCAGCTACACGTTTTCAGAGAGTACGCTTACAACGTCCAATATAATCAGCACCACAAGAGCAGGTAAAAGAGTAAATACACATTGATGTGGATATAAGCGGTAATCCATCCTTGACGCATTGTCTAATCATATTTCGGCTGGTAAAAACTAGTTGTAAGTCAGCTGCAGGAAAAGTGCGTTTAATACATTTAGATAAACGATTTTTAATCAATTCAGAAATGGTGTAATTCATCCACTTCAACTCTACCCCTTATAACATTTTAATTATCGTTATTCTTATCACTTATATATATGTATATTGACTGAGCAATTATTTAGTGCCACTTAATATCTTTTTCTGTAATATAAATACGACTGTACAGTTGGCTTGAAAATGAAGTCGTTGAAAAGAAATTTCTTCGCTGAACAAACCAAAATAACTGTGTTTTTACTTATGTGAATCTTTATTTTGATACGATATTTATTGATGTCCTTGTTCAGTAATAAATTTATTGTTAAAATTATAATGATAATTTGACTTTGTTCATTATAAACAAAAAATTTTCTCTCAATATTTTCGGTTCTATGAATAGGTCTGGTTTTCAGTGTGTCTTTGCCAATGATTGGGGGAAAACAGTTCTATCCTTTGAACTAGAATTAGTCTATGTCTCAGCTCGAGCAGTAGAAGCTTCAGTTCGACGTCGTATGACGCTGAGATCTTCATCCCCTGGTGGTGGAATGTCTTCTGTTCATTCCTCCAATAATAATAATACTTCTATGAATCCATCCTGCGGAATAAACACGAATACATCTACCACGTCGAAAGGTTCTGCGTCAACACGTGGAGCAGCAGCTAATTCTCGTGATCGACATGATCGTATACTTGGTATAAAAATGAAGCGTACTCATGGTGATTCATTCATGTATACAAGTTTATGTCGTACAGTTCTTGAGTCCGCTGATATCCGATTGGATATTTGAAACTTGTGTTTGTGTGTTTTGATTATTTTTCAATTTTCGCAGTTAAGACAACACCTTTTTCGATCTCTACTCTCTATCTCTCTCTCTCTTGCTCACTTCTCTTCAAGCGTATGTGATAGTACAGATTTCACGCCTGGTTAACTGGAATTTTTCAACATATGTTTTCATGTTAACCACCACCAACACAATATTCTTTGCTACTGCCTTGCCTGCCTTTACAATGTGTCTGACCTTTTTTTATAACATTGTAAGAAATTTTGTCATTTTGAGACATACATTTATGTGTGTATGTGTGTGTGTTTGTGAGAAATGAATAATGAATGGTATAGATACGATTCTAACATTGAAGAATTTGTCTTGATATTATTACTATTATTATCTTGGATTATGCATTTATATACTTCTATATTACAACTTTTTAAGAATGGAATTGTTCGTTGTTCTTTTTTTTTTTGTGGATTCACTGGTTTTACTTGTCGATATCAGTTGATGAAAGTCAACGATGGCAAGGGAGCAGGTTTTAAGATGTTGCATTTCATGATAGTAATTAGTTAGTCAGTTTATAAATTGTATGTTGACGGGAAGGAGGGGAGGAGCGGTAAGATTCAGGTGTAGAATGCTCAATAGCCACGTATGTGGTCATGGTTCGATTCTAAGTCGACGCCCTCCTGAACCCAGGAAAGGTGTAGGTTTGCATGTTAGGGTGGCAGCAGAGCCACTTCGTAGAAAGCCCAAGCTCTGCTGTGACTTCCAGGTTTGAAGCCCTACTGCTTGAGTTGGAACGCTAAAGAATAAAAGATGATCAATCTAGGCCAATCTCAGTTAGTTACTGTTCAATGTTAATCGCAATTGGAGATGTCATCTGAACTTTAGGTCAGTTTTTTTTAATACTGAAGCAATCAAGTTTGCTGGTGCGTCGGTGGCGTAGCGGTTAGGACGCTCGCCTACCATGCACATGGTCCGGGGTTCGATCCCCGGCCGACGCACTCCTTTACCTCGCTAAGCCAGAAATAATGCTGGTGAAGAGGAAAGGTTGGGCATGAAGCTAGCAACCTCATCCTGTAAAATAAACACTGCTACAGAAACTTCAAGCCACTAGCTTGAGGCCCTATGTTCCACTGGGAACGTGAAGGAAAAAAAATGAAGTTTGCTGGCAAGCGTTTATTAGCTGGTTAATATAAAAGTGATTTTCAGTCGATAGGGCAGCAAAAGGTACTACTGGTGGCTACAGTACTAGAGTTCCATAAATCTCACTAAACATGCATCATACTGTGTACTACTGACTGACTGATATGAGTAGTTCGATTGTGCTGAAATCAACCAGTAGCTTTTGACGGCCACCTTATCAGCAGTACACTTGGCTTGATTTGATTGGGAGAGCTGAAATTATTCAAACCGCCCGAATTCTGTCTAGCTACTTGGGTGGACTTGTAATTCACTAAATCTAATCCGCGATTCACTGGTAGCTCATATATTTTGCGCAAAATAATTTTCGTTTCCAACGGAAACCGTGGTGAGATTTCACTTGGAACTGTGTAATTTGAAGAGAGTAATTATGGCTCATATTAGGTCAATGAAACAATCGGTGAAGCGCAAGTCATCCTAGTGATTTTCCTTGTTTGGTATCCTTTAGATGGCTGGTCCTGACGGTAAACATACGCATGTCTCAGAGATTAAGTACCTACCTTGAAAACGGTGAGATCGTGAGTAGCTGATTAAATCAATTATAGTTGCTCAGATCGTGTATACTAGGCGGATAAAGCTGTAGCGTTATAGGGAGAATGCTCGCCAACCGCTTAAGTGTTCTGGATTCCATTCTGCGCCAACGCACTCTTAGACGGCAGCAAGCTCGGTAAGACGGAAGTTTGCAAGTGAAGCTACTAACCCCATCGTGTAAGAAATAAAGCCACCTTTACTGAAACTTCAGGTCTTAAGCCTGCTAATTTACGTTCCCCTCGGAACACAAAAGAATGGAGGAAAAGCCTAGTAACAATACGGACAAGAAAACCACGACCTAGAAATGAAAGTAAGTGTACTTGTGGCCCATAATTCTAGGTGCTTGATTTACCACCAGTTTTTCTCGTGTTCAGAGCAGTTCCACCTGACGAGACTCCGCACAGCCCTCACACAGTGATTGAAGCTCATCGCCAAATGGATGGAACTGCTTGTTTCTCGAAGTGAAGGGAGTTTCGTGAGCTATAAAATGAACCCAGTATATTACTTGCAATGCATGAACTTGGTTTCGTTGAATCCTTTATTGCGTCCAGGCAGTAATACTTTAGTCTTGACAGCCGCATGATGTATCCAAATAAATGTTAGTGGATGCATTTTCGAAAATTCCACAGACCTAATCCAATATAATATTCCACCATAGTCTTCTGGAGAGTATTGTGAAACTTCACTACGTCGATCAAAATGCTGTTCGATTTCGCCTTTGTCATCCCAGTAGCGACGATTTCTTTGTTTAAACCGTACATGTCCTTCGAAACAAATTACCTTCCTCCGGTTCTCCTCTGTTCCATGAAGTTACAGCAATCAACAGGACAGATATTAGTACCAGAAAAGGATCCTCAACCTTTTGAAAATACCAAGAAGCCAGCACCAAAAAAACCAAGGGTTCCTGTAAGCTTGTCACAAGGCCAATGAATATTTGATAAGCTCTTCCCAAACTAACCTAACATACATCCATCATTCAAAGAAGCTGCAGTGCGTGAAGGGGTAGACACACCGTAATGGAGGTCATCGAATACTCCGGATCCTTCATACTCAAATATTCCTTCATTTTTGTCACGAAATACTTAATTTGGGATTTAACAGAGCTAAAACAAGCGAGTATAGAGGAGTATCACGTGGAGAATCACCAGAGACTTTAAAGTATTGTTAGGAAGCAGGATTCCGGCGCTAAGGGATATGCACATTTACCACATGTAAACTGGAAACCCAACTTTCGATTACTGAATCACCGTAAGTCACTGAAGTATACCATCATCATTCACGTTTTCGAAACTGCACCCATAGGTTGTTTTAAAGATCCCCTTCTTACTAGTATGGTCAAGACATAAATATTCATGATGGTGTTATTCACCGTGTTGAGACTAATGAACTCTTAGTCAAGTAAAATTATAGCTTTTGAACAGCTCAGTCTCACCCCACCAATCTTTTTTTGGCAGGGGGAAGCTCAGCAGTACTGCCGATGTACATTGACTGGTAGATGCTATGTTTTTAGAGCCCAATGTGTTCAGGTAAACTTAGTTTTGATTTTTATAAAAGGATTAGAAACTATCGTGACAACTGATGAAGGGTCCCGTATCAGAGACCAAGGTCTAGAGTGAGCTTCCATTTCTTTTCACTTCGTTTTTTCCTCCACTGAAGCCCTTCACCAACAGCTATTTTTCTCACTGCCAAGGAAGATCTATAACAAATCAGCTTGATTTATACTAGGTCGTTAAACGGATTCTGCATAGTGAAGTGTAGGGTAACAATTCTAGGACCTCTTCTCTACTTACACTACATATCTGAGATCCCTCTAACAATTTAGATTTGACAGCTATCCGTAAAGCCTTGCCCAAGAAGGGATTTAGAATGTTAAAGGCTCTGCACACAGCCTTTGTTAGTTAAGAAGCTGACATATTTCGTATATTATATCCACTTTATTTCAAACTCCATCTGGAACATAGGATCCAGGCAGCCACCCCATGTTTCAAGCGTGAAGCATATATATTAGATAGAATGTACAGAGTGAGGACTAAATTGACCAAGGAGTTTCTAATCTCTAGCATAAAGATCCTTTAATCTTGCATCTTAAGTACTCGTTCTGACTGAAAAATTTATACAAGTAAAACTGAGATTTGACCATAGATAAGATGACAAGATACAGAAAGGATATAAGTGGTAATGTCAGTTATTGTTTGATCATCAGACATAAGGGTATTGCAGATATACCTTGTCTCGTACAACTGGCATCCTGCGAAGAAGACGAGGTCAGTTCAACAATCATGGTCATACACTGCATCCCAGAACCGGAAACGGTGATGCGGGAAGAAGTACAATGATGGTACGCAATAGGGACAGCGCTTATCTGCGCCGCTTGAACTGAGTGGATTCCTGGCAGCCGCTATTTGCAGACACTTGGCGACATTCTACGAGCCTGGTACACAGTTAAAGAAAGCATGTGTGGCAGTATACAGTGCTGCAACAATAAGCTCAATGCTACAGTGTAATAACAGAGAAAGGCGCCAACCATGACTACCTATCAACATAAATGCATGATGAGGGAAATCACCAATATACATATATACATATATCGTGAACTGGAAGAAAATGAAACTCATGGACCATTAGATAGGATCCCAGTACTTGGATGGTCCGAAAGCTCTTTCTTTAACCGGAAGGTCCTGGGCCTGCACCCAAGTGCCGCATACTGATGAGAAGTCTCAAACTAGGACGAAGTAGATGTTCAGTGCATTCTGGTTTTTCAGGGTTTCTGTAGCTGATGTTAGCTCGTGATCATACTTGTAACCAACCAGTTCCTTGAACACCAACTACCGAAACCTATTAAACGTCTTCGATGCACCACCAGAGACCTCAGAAGGAAGATCATTAAGCCCATGAATGTGTGACCGTATGACGCGTCGTCAGCAACAGTTCCGGTAGAGACATAGGTGTTACTCTGAACTGGCCATAGACAGAATGATAGTGTACAGAATGAACAAACAGGGTGGATGGAAGAGGGTACAGTATGTGGCGAATCCCGGTTAGGCCTAGCCTCTAATGTGAAAAAACCGAACTCCCTAATTCAGTCTAGTGTTGTGTAACCACAAGCAGTGCCGTGTTCCGGAATGAAGGCGCTTGCTGATCGCTGACATACGAGGCAAAACGAAAGCCACAAATGACAGAAGCAATTTCCTACGATGCACAGGCCCCTTCGTTAGCTGCGAAGTAGTGATTTATATGTACTCTGATATGATGATCTTATTGGAAAGTTTTGATTCGTTTATTTGCGGTCTGATTTTCTGAAATCAGACAATCAACCAGATTTTCGTTATCTGTGGCTTGTTGTTGTTGTGATTATTTTCATTCTTTGTGCCGTTAAAGTCCTAGTTTTTCCCACCGTAATTTTTGTGTCCATATCAGTGTGGAAGATAAATTAAAGTGGTTAGCTGGAGGCACCTTCTAGTCAGGTTCGATAGACCTACAACCTAGTATCCTTTAGTCATAATGCGAACCTTGTGGCAATGACCATTTAGTAAAACTTCATTATCAAACACTATCACACAGTGTCGGCAATGATCGGACAATCCTTCAACAGAAACATGAATGTTATCATGACTATTGGATTGTGCGAAACTATTAAGAATGATGCACACTGGTGGTGGGATGGCGAACCATCTGGAGTAGATTATTTTCTCACAAGCGACCACGTGTCAGTCGAGAATTTACTATTATAACTACCAACAAGGAACAGTAACCACGCAGCATTTCTTTTTGACTGAGTTATTTCGGAAAGGTTAATCAAAAATGACTGTTCTGCTCAACATTGTCACGGCAAAAACAACTTTGAGCCAATGAAACTGAATGTGGAGTTGACACCTTGACAATGAATCTACCATCCTTTTTCAGGGGAAAAGCACCACGAGTGGACAGAGTTATCATAAAGACGATCACGTCCGCATGATAACGTCACTCCACCCTTAAAAACAGTACTCACCGGATAAAAGTAGGTACAGACCACCTCCTCCAGAATGAACTAAGAGCATCACACAATTAACCCTCTTTGTCTCAGATCATACAGCATACATTATCTCAGTGAATCGGTGTGTTACTATGGTCAGAGGGGATAAGAGGACCTTACAGGTAAACTTCATTAGAAGGGTGAGCTTCTGAGTTATCTGGAGATAGTCAAAGCATTTAGCGGTACTTTCGAGAGAAATTAAAGTAACAGCTATCCCAGTGGGAAAAGTGCACCTTGGCAATCCCTTTGTGGTTTGATATCTCAGAGATTGCTATACTCCAGACAACTCCAAGCATAGTTCTGGGGGACGTTAGCAAAACGTCGTTCAGAACAATCCCAAGACTGCGATGTTATCGAGCCAGTAGTTCTCAAGCAGTATACTGTGGTTGTATGTATTCCATCAAGCAAGGAGCAATTCTAGGTCCATTTCTATTGATTTCCTTTATAAACGAATTCTCTAACAACTTAAGCTGTCCATAGCTTTCATACTGAGACCATATTATGCTGTTGAGGACTCTGAGAATTATAGAGGACTCAGGCTACATGAAGAGTTAATTAGCCTGGAGAACCAGACCATGTGGAAACCACTTCTCCCATACTTTGACAGAGCATGATCTTTAGCTGTTCCTGGCAGGTACATTAGACACTGGCGCTTACTACGCAGGAGAAAGCTGTCGAAACAATGTACTTCATATGTGGGTGGTTGGGATCACTTACAATTGGGCTATTTATGCAGCTTGACTTACGGATAAATTTAGAAATTCTTGGTGTCACTGCACGACTGTTTTTAAAAAGATGTACTGGTCTTCTCGAAAGAATTAAAGCAGGGCTAACAAGACTGCCAGCGGAACTAAATATCTGACATATGGTTACCGATTTTGACAGTTGCGTATGTGTACTCTTAGCCATCGCAGTAAAATGGATGAAGAAAAAATGCACAGGCCAGTGCACTTGATCTGAGTGATGCTAACAGAAGGACACATTGGTATACTTAATTGAATCACTGTGGGAGAATTTTCTGGGGCAACAAATGTCCCACTTAATTCGTCGTCTTTATTTAGTTCACCATCTTGGTATAATTTTTATTACTTTCTTTAACCATACTGCTGTTTTCTTCTCTTTTAACTCTTTTATGTATGCATGGATTGTTGCTGTCTTCCGTTTCTTACACCCAATCATACTGTCACACCTTCCATTTTTTTAGTTTACTAACACTATAGATCCGCTGTCATCAACTGGTTTACCAAAGCCTTTTTAGAGCGTTTTTCTACCTCTGCCTCGGAAGGAAACATACATCCACTCCCTTCAAAAAAAACAAGCCATTGCAGCTACCCTTGTTAGTTCCAGCAAACGTGCAGTAGTCAAGGGGACAGATTGTACTGGGACTCACCAAAGCTCTACAACCGCCTCGAAACAACGACAGGAGGGTGCGAAGAAACCATTTGGCTTATACGAGCTCAATAAAATGATATCGGGTGTAATATGTAGAGATTTAATCAACTAGATTTATTTACGCTTTCATATCGGCCACTTAGGAGTAACCTTATTCCATATTAATTTGTTTATCAAATATAGCACACAGTGAAACAGTAGTATCCTACGACAAATGGAAAAGAGTGAAGAGAACTATAAAACTCATTCAAAGTCGTGTGATTGTAATTGATATGATTATGAAGAAGAAATTATATTTGAAGCGCCATCCAGTAGGTGCTGATGTTTCACTTTCATATGGAATTACATACTACCACGTACCCAAGTTTTACACATATATTAAGAAGTAACCTAATTTTAGTGTTCCCTATTTTACTTAAATATTCAGGTACTGGTTTATCCAGTCCTATTTTTCCCACCAGAATGGAACACTTGTTATGATATGACTTTTAATTTGTATAAACTCTGTCGAATCGTCTGTATCTGGGAGTTGTTTACTAGCATCGAACTGTGAACCAGTATAATCCTACAACATAGCATATCTTATCAGCAGCTTCTGTTGGCTTATTCAAAGTCTAACTGGAAATTCACTGTATAGAAAACCCAGGTGATGAATTCTGAAACCTATTTTAAATAATGACTACGGACCTGACCTATTTTCTCTTTTCCTTCCCACCAGGTCGAAACACCTTAGAGGACATAGCAGGAGAGTTCAAAAGCCAAGAAGAAATCATATTGCTGTTGAGTACTGGTTCTCACAACGAGTCATCAAACTCTTGGAACCGACTCCCAGAAGAAGTGGTGTCTGCAACCTCAGTTGATTCGTTCAAGAAGGGTTTGGACAACCACAGAAATTTACTAGAAAAGGATTAAGATAGGCTCCAAGCCTTCTATCCTCAACCAATAAATCTGAAAATCTGAAATCTGAATCTATTATCCTTATTCAATACGTCACCCGTAAATTGAGTGGCGCTTTGTACAATTCAAGGTCACGTTGAAGGTGATGGCACATCCTATTATTGATGAAAACATTAAAGAAGACTATCCAAAAGAACTATTGATCCAAAGCCATATAAAGTTTTTAGTAAAATGCACCAAGAAAACAGATTCTACCCTGGACTACTGCAAAATGTCTGGCATATATTGGGTTTTAACTGCTCTTGATCTTCTCGACGCGTTATCCGAAGTAGATAAAGATGAAATGGTCGATTACGTACTGAGTTGCAGAAAAGCGGATGGTGGATTCTCTCCTTCACCCAAACATGATTCACATCTACTGTCAACACTTAGTGCCATTCAGATTCTAGCACTTTTTGACTCATTAGATAAGATTAACGTTGAAACAATTTGTGAATATGTTGCTAAATTGCAAGTAAGTCTATCACAGTTTATATATTTTTATTGGCACTGCTATATATCACACTGGCTGCTATGATTTTTTCAAGGTATTTTATGTCGTAAATTGGAAAATTTATTGTAAAACCACAGTTCGGTGTTTCTATAAGTACTTACTCCCGAAAGCTTAAGTTAATTTATTTGACACATACCATCCTGTGCCATCATGGATACTGAGTTTTATCTGTTTTTAGAAATAACTTCAAACCTAAGTCACTTCGAATCAATAAACTATTTTGCGTATTACAAATAACCATCTTATCGTCTCTATCATATAAAAACTGTCATAACAATCTTAATGTCTCATTCACCTGTTAGTGCGAATAAAATATGCAGGTGATTTTACGGTATCTGTGAAACCTTGATGTCTAACAACTACAAGTTGATCATTAATGTGTTTCCTGTAATGGCTTTCAAACAGATTTCAGATTCAGATTTGTTGACTAAGGATGGAAGACTTAAAGCCCATGTCAATCTGTCTCTAGTAAATTACTATGCTCATCCCAACCCTTCTTGAATGAATCAGTTGAGGTTGCAGACACCACTTCTTCTGGGAGTCGGTTCCAAGAGTTTGATGACTCGATGTGAGAACCAGTACTCAACAGCAGTATGATTTCTTCTTGGCTTTTGAACTCTCCTGCTATGTCCTCTAAGATGTTCCGACCTGGTGGGAAAGAAAAGAGAGAATATGTCAGGTCTGTAGTCATTATTTAAAATTTTAAGCACATTGTGATTAAATCTCCTCTCTGCCTACGGTATGATAAGGAGAATAGATCAGGATTGTTTAGTCTTTCTTTGTATGATAAATTAGTCATGCTCTGTGTTCTGTTGTTTTTTCGACAAAGAACTTTGCACATATGTGCAGCAGTTCAAGTCGCCAAACTCCACTCCATGTAGCACACAAAGCAAGAGAAGAAAGTAGGAGAAATGCATAATATAGACAGTAAA